CTTCTTCATATAGTCCAGCTTCTTGGGTCATTTGCTCAGCATACAGATTGAATAAGGATGGTGAAAGAATACAATCCTGATGCACTCCCTTCTTGATTTTAAAGAATGCAGTATCCCCTTGTTCTATTCGAACGACAGTCTCCTGGTTTATGTACAGGTTCCTCATGAGTAAAATTAAGTGTTCTGGAATTCCCATTCTTATCAATGCTATCCATAATTTGTTATGACTTTGCATAGTCAATAAAACATAAGTAAACAACTTTCTGGTATCCTTTGCTTTCAACTAAGATCCATCTGGCATCAGCTATGATATCCCTTGCTCCATGTTCCCTTCTGAATCCAGCCTGCATTTCTGGAAGTTCTCTGTCAATATACTGCTGCAACTGTTTTTGAATGATCTTCAGTAAGAAATTACTTCGTGTGATATCAATGATATTGTTCAATAATTTCCACATTCTGTGGGATCACCTTTCTTTGAATGGGTACAAATATGGATCTCTTCTAGTCAGTTGGCCAGATAGCTATCTTTCAAATCTCTTAGCATAGCCAAGTGAAGCATCCATTTGTTGCAACATCTCAATGACTATTCCGTCAATTCCTCAGCCTTGTTCTATGCCAATTCCTTCAGTGCAGCTTCGACTTCTTCCTTCAATACCATTGGTTCTTGATCATATGCCACTTCCTGAAATGGATGAACACTGACCAATTATTCTTTTTGGTACAGTGAGTCTTTGTAGTCCTTCCATCTTCTTTTGATGCTTCCTGTATCATTCAATATTTTGCCATAGAATCTTTCAATATTGTACCTCAAGGCTTAATTTTTTCTTCAGTTCTTTCAAGCTCGAGAAATGCTGAGTGTGTTCTTTCCTTTTGGTTTTCTATCTCCAGGTCTTTGCACATTTCATTGTAATAATTGACTTTGTCTTTTTGAGCTGCTCTTTGAAATCTTCTGTTCAGCTCTTTTATCTTATCATTTCATCCACTTGCTTTAGCTACTCTCTGTTCAAGGACAAGTTTCAGAGTCTCTTCTGCCATCCATTTTGGTCATTTCTTCCTTTCCTGTCTTTTTAATGACCTCTTGCTTTCTTCATGGATGATGTTCTTGATGTCATCCCACAATTCCTCTGGTTTTTGGTTACTGGTGTTCAATGCATCAAATCTATTCTTTAAATGGTTTCTAAATTCAGGAGGGATATAATTAAGGTCATAGATTGGCACTCATGGACTTGTTTTGTCTTCAGCTTCAACTTGACATTGCATATGAACAATTGATCGTCTGTTCCACAATCAGCTCCCGGCCTTGTTTTGGCTGAAAGTAATGAGCTTCTCCATCACCTCTTGCCATGGATCTAGTCAATCTGATTCCTGTGTACTCAGTTTGGTAGAGTCCATGTGTATAGCTGCCATCTGTGTTGTTGAAAAAGGTATTTGCAATGAATAATAATAAGTCGTTGGTCTTGAAGAATACTATCATGCAATCTCTAGGATCATTTCTACCACCAAGGCCATATTTTTGAAATACTGGTGATTCTTCTTTGTTTCCAACTTTTGAATTCCAATCACCAGTGATAATTAACACATCTTGATTGCATGTTCGATCAATTTCAAACTGCAAAAGTTGGTAAAAGTCTTCAATTCCCTCATCTTTGGCTTTGGTGGTTGGTGCGTAAATTTGAATAATACTATTAACTGGTCTTCCTCGTAGTTGTATGAATATTATCCTATCACTGACAGCATTGTACTTCAGGATAGACCTTGATACATTTTTTGTGATGATGAATGCTATGTCATTCTTCTTCAATTTGTCATTCCCAGCATAGATCATATGATTGTTTGATTCAAAATGGCCAAAATCAATCTATATCAGCTCACCAATGCCTAGGATATCAATCTTTATGCTTTCCATTTCATTTTTGACAACTTCCAATTTTCCTGGATTCATACTTCATACATCCCATGTTCCAATTATTAATGGATGTTTGTAGCTGTTTCTTCTCATCTTGAGATGTGCCACATCAGCAAATGAAGACACGAAAGCTTTACTCTATCCACATCAAGGTTGCCTGTACTTGGAGGAGGTATTTTGAGTGCCCTCCAACCTGAGGAGCTCACCTTCTGGCACTATATTGGACAGTGTTTCAGGGCTATTCATAAAGTTTTACAGTAATATATCAGACAATGTTTCACTGCTATTCATAAGGTTTTCACTGGCCAATTCTTTGAGAAGTGGATGGCCTCTTCCTTCTTTGGAGTCTGTCTTAGTCTGGAAGCTCCACTGAAACCTGTCCACCATGGGTAACCCTGCTGGCATCTGCAACACCAGGGGCATAGCCTCCAGCTTCACAGCAGGACTCAAGCCACCACAGTATGACAAACTGACAGACAAGTTTGTTTTTCTTAGTTGTTTCAAACTGCTCCACTCATTTCCTGGTCTCCCCACCCTGCTAGCTTACCCAGCCTGCCCCTAGGGTCCTCTGTGCACACAAACATCCACCTTCCACTGGTCCCAGGCTGAGAGAAAGAGAGACAGAGAGAGAGATCTCAAGGAAATGGTTCACACAGTTGTAGATACTGGCAAGTCCCAAGTCATAGTCAAACATCAGGCTGGAAGCTTCTCCTGAATCACACAACTGCAGGAGCTGATGAATCTAAGATTGGTAGGTCAGATGGCATGCTGCTGGCTCATGGGCAAGGAAGCTGATGAATCCAAGACCAGCAGGTAAGGTAGCAGGATGCTGGCTCAAGTCCACTACATCAAGTAAAAATGCAGAGAGGTTTGCCAGAACATCCATGTATATTGGACTCCGGACATACCCCCGAGAAAACTCCCTTTCAACTGATTGGCTGCCCATAGCAGATCTCATCATGGAGGATGACTATCTCATTACAAAATTGACAAACTACATCATAATTGTCAAAGTATTGAGAATCATGGCCCAGCCAAGTTGACATACAACCTTAACCATAACAATGTCAGGAAATAAAATTATTTTTCCATATTTTCAATGTATTATGTATTAGAGTTCAACTAATTTTCAAGATAATTATAGGTACTTATATATAGATAATGAACATACAAGATCTATCCTGAAGTATAATGTTGTCAGTGATAGGCTAATAACCATATCCCTACAAGGAAGACCAGTTAATACTCCAATTATTCAAATTTATGCACCAACCACTAAAGTCAAAAATGAAGAAATTGAAGATTTTTACCAATTTCTGCAGTCTGAAATTGAGCAAACATGCAATCAAGATACATTGATAATTACTAGTGATTGGAATGCAACAGTTAGAAATGAAGCAGCATTGGTAATTGGAAAATATAGCCTCGGTGATAGAAACTATGCTAGAAATAGCATGATAGATTTTTGCAAGACCAATGACTTATTCATTGCAAACACCTTTTCTCAATAAAATAAACTGTGGCTACACAGGCAGTCTTTGCCAGATGGAATACACAGGAATCAAGTCAATTATATCTGTGGAAAGAGGTAACAGAGAAGCTCAGTATCATCAGTCAAATCAAAAGTCAGGAGCTGACTGTGGAACAGACCATAGATTGCTCAAGTTGAAGTTGAATAAATGAAAAAATGTTCACAAGAGCATTTTGTTGTTGTTGTTGTTCTTGTGTGCCGTCGAGTCAGCCCCGACTCATAGCGACCTGTCCTTGGGTTTCCAAGGTAGTATCACTATGAAAGTAGATTGCCCAACCTTCCTTCTGAGGAGTGGCTGGTGGGTTTGAACAACCAGCCTTCTGGTTAGCAGTCAAGTGCTTCAGGCACTATGCTACCAGAGCTCCCACCTTGATTATATTCCTCCTAAATTTAGAGACCATTTGAAGAACAGATTTGACATAGTTAACACCAATGAATGAAGAGTAGAGAATTGTGGGATGACATTAAGAACATCATACATGAAGAAAGCAAATGGTCATTAAAAGCCCAGGAAAGGAAGAAAAGATGAAAACGGAAGTCAGAAGAGACTCTGAAACTTGCTCTTGCACATAGAGTAAGTAAAGCGAATTAAAAAAATGATGAAATAAAAGAGCTGAACAGAAGATTTCAAAGGGCAGCTTGAGAAGACAAAGTAAAATATTGTAATGAAATGTGCAAAGACTTGGAATTAGAGAACCTAAAGGAGGGTCTCTATGAGTCAGAGATGACCCGATGGCACATAACAACAACAACAACAACAAAGGTAAGAACACACTTGGCATTTCTCAAGCTGAAAGAACTGAAGAAAAAATTCATGCCTTGAGTTGCAAAGGATTCTATGTGCAAAATATTCAAGGATGCAGGAAGCATCAAAAGAAGATGGAAGGAATACACAGAGTCACTATACCAAAAAGAATTGGTCAATGTTTATCCATTTTAGGAGGTGGCATATGATCAAGAACCAAGGGTACTGAAGGAGTTAAGTCCAAGCTACATTTTTTTTAAAGGAAACAATATCCTCATTCCTCATAATGAAATATGACAGATAGACTGAATTAACAAGTAAAACCTACAAAGTACAGTAAATGCTATGTAATAATTTAAAATATACACCAAATGACTAAAGCCAGCAATTTATATTGAAATATCAAATTCTGTGCAGTATTTCCAACCAATAACAAATTTTAATAAAGATTGAGTATAATATCATGACGGGATAATCTAATGATTAAATATGCTTACATTTTGTCATATTCAACTTAAGAAATCTACAACCTTTATCTGTACCAAAGGATACAAATTATTTACTAGTTCTAACCATACCATCAATAAAACAGATTTTTTGAACCATTAAAACAAACATTACAAAAAAGTGCTTTGTTCTTAACTGCAAGGCTATGGATTCCAAGTTTCTCATCAAGCTGATAATGATCAAGTTCAGATCCAAGATGCAGACAGAACATCTGTGGTGCAGTACACATGGTTATTCCTCCTTTGTTCTCTGCAATTTGTCATAAAGAGCTGAATTCATATGTCCTTTTTGATACAGGGCGAAGGAACAATTCATGTAATATAAATTTCCTAAACCACCAAGATGGCAAGATGGGCTTAGTGAGATGGGAGTGACATGGATTTTTTAAATACCCTAAACCCTTTTGCTGGCCCAGGATATGGTGGTGGTGGTGATACATTGTGTTTTCTGGTCAGTGCCATGGCCTGTTCATAAGAAGGTAATCCTGTGTCTTCTACAGAAGGTGGCAATGGAGACAAGACAGCTTCCTCAGGTCTTCTGAAAATGATGGACGGAGTGTGTCTGCCTCTTCTTACGTAGACAGCTGAAGAACTACACAAAGAGACAACATTTAGGTCTAGTAAAGGCAGTATTTTAAGGTTAAGATGGTTGTTGTTGTTAAGTGCCATCGAGTCGTTTCCGACTCATAGCGACCCCATGCACAGCAGTTTTGCTATTCATAAGGTTTTCCCTGGCCGATTCTTTCAGAAGCAGATGGCCTCTTCCTTCTTCCTAGTCTGTCTCAGTCTATAAGCTGGGCTGTTACCTGTGCACCAGGTGCATCTCGCTGGGTTTTAAACACCAGAGGCTCAGCCTCAAAACTCAAGTCTACATGTCACCACAGCAGGACAAACCGACAGACAAGTTTGTCCTGTTGTTGGAGACCTCTCGTATCACCCCCACCTGGGTCCCTGTGGCTGACTGTTCCTCTGTCTGGCTTCCTGGCTTTTAATCCCCTTTCTCCTGCTCTTCTGGCCTGCTTCTTTGGGCGTCCCTGCGTCGTCTCTCCTCACCTGTAACCCTGCGGCTGACTGCTCTTCTGTCCGGGTTCAAGGCTTTTATCCCCTTTCTCCTGCTCTTCCGGCCTGCTACTCTGGGCGTCCCTGTGTTGTCTCTCCTCACCTGTAACCCTGGGGCTGACTGGTAGTATTTAAAAAAAAAAAAATCCACTGGACTGTTTCGATAAAAGTTGAACCCAATTTATTAAGAAAACAAGTTTTATTTTACCCATAAACTCAAAAAAGTCTTTGTATAGTGAAAACATCAAGAGCTTTGAAGCTAGACATGGGTTTCAAACCTGACCTTGCCATTTCATAGTTAAGTGGCCAAGGGAAGGTTCCTGAGTAGCGCAAATGGTTTATGTTCTACTACTAACCTAAAGGTTGACAGTTCAAACCCACCCAGTAGAGGCAGGCTTGGAAGGAGAAATTCCTGGTGATCTGCTTCCACCAAGATTACAGTCAAGACAACCCTATGAGGCAGCTGTACTCTGTCACACAAGTGGTCACCTTGCATTGGAACAGATTAGAAAGCAAAGAGTTGGTATTTTTTTGTTGTTGTTGTTTGTAGCCAAAAGCAAATTATTATCTAACTGGAGTCTCAGTTTCCTCCTCTCTAAAATGGGGATAATAGTTATTTTGTGTGAATTGAATATGGTATGCAAACCATCTAGTAGGGTCTCGTGTGGTAATATAAGAACTCAAAACACGCTAATTCCCCTTTCTTCACTTCCTGAATTAAAAGTTTCTGAAAGTATGGCATGAAATCCAAACCAGGCTTTGTTGAAAGGTGGCACAGCTCCTGGTTGAGGGAATAGATGCCACAGAGACAACCACAACATCTGATGCTACTCTCCTCTTCTGTTCTCTCCTACACTCCTGCTGCCCTGTCAGTCTTCCCTAAATAGTACTTTTTTTCATGTCATTCTTCTGAAAAGTCTAATCTGCAGCATACCTTGCAGCATACTTTTCACTCTTGTGCCTCCTTTGGAAAAAAAAACCTATTGTCATCGAGTTGATTCTGATTCATAACAACCCTACAGGACAGAGTAGAACAGCCCCATAGGGTTTCTAAGGATGTAAATCTTTATGGAAGCAGATTGCTTAATTTTTCTCCTGGGAGTGACTTGTGGGTTCAAACCTCTGACCTTTTGGTTAGTAGCTGAATGCCTTAACCACTGCACCACCATGGCTCTTTTCCTTTTCAAAGCTTCCTTTATTCTGGCCTCGACTTATTTTTTATAGCTCTCTGCTCTTGCCAAGGTGGCCTCTTTAGTCTCCCCTGAATGTGCAATGAATTCTCAGACTCTGTGTTTTCACTGGTACTATTTCCTTTCTACGAATATTGTCTTCTCCTTCCACTGGTCTTCACCTAACTTTTTTTTTTTTTTTTTCAAATATGGCCTAGTTTACTCCCTGCCAAGGAGCTTTGGTGGCATATTGAATAAGTGCTCAGCAGCTAACTGAATTTGAATCTCCTAGGCACTCTATGGGAGAAAAGACCTCCCATAAGGATTACAGCCCAGGAGATCACAGGGGGCAGTTCTACTCTGTCCTATAAGGTCACCAGGGGTCAGAATCAACTCCATGACACACAATAGTTCAGTCCTACCATTTTTACAAAACCTTGCCAACTACACTAACCAACCAATGAAGGTTGAAATGCAACTTGGGTCTGGTGTTTTAAGCCTACATTTTCTCTTCTCACTTGTATATTACAAATTATAATATAAACATTATTCAGTTTGTCTCTTCACACTCTGAACTTGGCTTTCTATGAATTATCTAGGCATAACTTAACCTCATATAGTTTTAGGTATGCAGGATAAGATAATTAAAAGTCATAGGTTAACCCAACCTTCAGTCAATATTTATAATACTCATTCCACCAAAAAAGAGTTTAGCACACCTAATACTATAATCTTCTCCAAAACTCAATCAGATAATTTGTGTTTTAAAATATCTTTTTTCCTTTGGAAGAAATAATGGGAGATGAAATTGGAGGAAAGGACAGAAAAATTTGCAGAGAGAAGAAAAGCAAAAGGTCTGTATAAATCCAGCAAATGGATAATCAGTCCTTCATCAGTTGAGAGCTGCCTGAGCAGATCACAAGTTTACTTAGAGGGCTCAGTACAATTCCTCCCCTGTCAGAAATCTGGAAGGTATTCATGGTAGGCAAGTCACTGTCACATTTATTAGCTTGTGATGAAAAGTTTTATTTGCTTATCAGGAACAGGAGAGACAGATATTTTAATTTGAACAAATAAAATTTTCCACATTGACCTTAAGATTTTCACATATAGAAATAATGTAATAATTATAGCAAAGTTATTAAATATCTGCCCAGTGCTTTTTCTAAAGCATACATCTTAAATGACTGTAATTAGAAAGTTACACTAATAACATCTCAAACAAACTAGCCTCATATTATGCTCATTTTTCTTCCCAAAATATAAGAACTAAGAAATGAAAAGATCCTGTTTTCCACTTCTTGGCATGTTTTTCAGAGGAATGAGGCAAACTTCCCTCACAATGGTCTTATTTTTTACTTCTTTCTTTCTCAAATATTCCCTTGCCCTTCCACCACTTCCAGACTTGCGAAACAGAGAAGGAGAACAAATAACTCTGCTGAAGAATTTGAGACAGCAGATGAAAAGTACTTTATTAAGTATTTATAAGTTAATCTTAAATATGAGAGTGTCTAGTAAACCTAGACACTAGGTTTACTAGTTGAATTGGGCAATTGCTCTCTCCTAAAACTCAAAAGTGTTACTGAGAGGATCAAAGGAAGACAATGGATATAAAAATGATCTGTGAATTTTAAAGCATTGTAGAGCACAAACATCAAGTATAAATAATCTAACTTTTAAAATAAGAGACATCCAGAGTTTCCTGTTTTACAATAGCATACACAGAAGATACCCATGATCACACCACCACTTTGTTTCCTCTGCCTTTGAATTCTGCTTGTCCTCTCATGCAGGGAGGAAGGTAGGCAATGTGTCAGAGACATGAAGTAGGAAGACAGTGGTGGTTCAAGAAAGGAGAATAATGAAGAAAAATGGGAGAAAACCAGGTATGAGCACACTGAATAATGACTTGCCATCACAGAACAGACCTCAAATGAAATTATTAAACATGAGGCCATACATAAAGTTTTGGTTTTTTAAAAATCAAACAAACAAACATTGCAAATGGGGTAATAAGGAAAAAGCAGAGATTA